TCAGTGCCCTGCGTGTTGTCGGCCAACTCCAAGCACTGCAAGTGGGGATAACTTGCTTGCGTGAACTCAATCATCTGATTACTCACTGGAGTACATATGAGTGGGGACCACATACGCAGTAACATAAATGGTCATGCCATCTGTCGTTCCCACTGCCAGTTGAGCTATGTCACAATGCCTCAGCTTAGGCGTGGATTCTCCAAACGTTTTAATCATCAGACTGTCTCGTCCAGAGACTGGAAGATGTAGAGCTTTCTGTAGACCCTCTGTTATGTAACTTCTCTGACTACTGCTGTCGAAGATCAATCTTGCGTTAACAGTGATGTCATGACCAGCTGGGTTGAAGATATTCGCTCGCAGTTTGAAGGAGAACGCCGTTCTTCACATTGATGAACATGCTTGTAGTTGGAGCTTGCACAGGTGAATTCTGAATTCCTTGATTTCCTCCTTCGCTGGAGTTCCATTTCGAATTGCCACCATCCGATTTTTGAGCTTCACATATAGAGGGGTGATGACCTCTAAGTCTGCATAAATGACAGTTTTTGTCACTGCTGCAATGACTCGCCAGGTGCCCTGACCGCAGACATTTGAAACATTTTCCCTTTTGCCGAATAAATTGCTTTCGGGTTGCGACGTTAGTGACAACAGTGCAATTCGACGAGGGATGCTGACCTCTACAGTACGTGCACCAAGGACCCTGTCATGACTGCGTGTTGCCATTCATGAACAGAGCAGATGTTGTTGGCGGTGAATCAAACGGCCCTCCTCGCACAGGTGGATTTGGAGCACGAGGCTCTCTAGTGTTGACAGATCCTGGATAAAACTGGCATTTTTCACGAAGTTGTAATTCCTTACAAAAGATCTCCAACATTGGCTGTAGATTCCACTCTTCGGATGCGAGATTTCTTGTTATTGTTACCCGCAAATCCTCTGGGATCTTTGACATGATAACCGGAGAAAGAAAACTCCAATACATTTTGGCTCCAATTCCAATGTTTTGAAGGCTTCGAACATGCGACTCGAGCTTGTCATAGATATCTCGTAGCTTCTTCGGTTCACTAATTGAAGTTGCCGCAGGTAATTTTAACAAGGCTTCCATGTGGGCAGAGATAACGACTTCCTTATTTCCATACCTTTCTTCCAGCAAACAGACCGCCTCCTTATAATTTCCTCCTGTGAGAGAAAATCCACTTATTGTGTTCGCTGCTTGGCCTTGAATCAAAGATTTTGAGTAGTTGAACTTATTCACATTGCTTATGCTCGAGTTCTGATGAACAGCTGAATTAAACGAATCCCAGAATGGCGCCCATTCCACCGGATTGCCATAAAACTTTTTTAATTCCAATTTCGGAAGCTTTGTGGGAGCACTGCCAATAGCTGGAGTGACTAGTTGACTTGGAATGGATCCAGCACCAGAGGGTTGAGTTTCTTTCCCACTTTTTTCTCTTGCAGAGCACACAGCCTTGATATCTGCAATGCACTCATAAACAGATGAGGTGAATTCGCAGCTGTCAGCTACTTCTTGATCGATAGATTCCTCTTTTGTTTCGTCAGTGATTTCACGATCCAGACCCTTGATATCAGCGAGCTTGTCTCGTAGAATAGATTGAAGGGACTTCAGCTTTTTTAAATCCGCTTGATTTCCAGAATTGAATAGTGCCCTTGCATCGGTGATAGTCTTCGTCACGTATCCCTTGTGACCAGCACGCACTCTAACTTTCCTCTTTAAATCCGTCATTTCTCTTCTTCGGCAGACTTGCCTCAGACCATGACTGTTTTCCTTTGAGAGAGTCCCAGGTCTTGGCACCAGTAAAATGTCAGAGTGAATTAATTCCTTAAACAAATTCCACGACCAAAATTCTTGAACAAAATCCTTTAATAACCCTGGTACATTGAGTAGACACAACAAATTCCGAATCGAGAAAAATCTGAGCAAAGAATCCTGAACAACTTGAGTGAATACCGAGTTACAACATTTTTCCTTAATGACTTTATCACTACGAGTGTCAATCAATCTATTTTTAAATGCTATCCTATAGAGAAAACAAGTTTGAGAGTCACGTCATTCGATTTAAGAGCTCACGCGATGAGATCATTTATAACAGTTTCAATAACTTCAAGAGCAAAGTGAGCACAAAAAGTTTGGTAGAGTATTGTTGAATATTTGATGAGATATCAAGATTCTCAATTTATGCAAATTAGGTGAACATTTTGAAGATCTGCTTTTAAAGAGGTTTAACTCATTGTCGTTTCAATATATTCATGTGATGTTCCTACAGCAAATACTCCTATACAATAGCCATGTTTGATACATGTTTCAAAATTTTTTGAAATAAACTTCATGGAATTATCACCTTTTGAAGACATGCCTTTTTTAAAAAAGCGTTTTTTTGTGACAATCGAGTGTCAAACTTTGCAAGGCTGTAGTATGCTACTGCTACATTGGAATTCAATGAATTTTTCACAGATCTTTGTACTTGGATAATACCGTAACATTGAAAATTCATGGCATTCCAATAAAACCAAAGGAAGATATAGCACTTTGCACTTGCAATTGAGTTAGAGATATTACGTGACTCATTATAAGACTTTGTATGGGAAATTGAACTTCTCCATTACCTAGCAACCACACATGCAGAAACCTATACCAACCTACTTAAAACATTCCTTATGTTAACAACTATCATTTGCTGAAGCCAAATCACATATAAAATGTGAAATCACGTATAAAAAAACCCTCACTGTCAGAATCAGCAGAGTGGGCAAATCAACAAGGGGGCAAGACAACACTTGAAGGGGGCAAGAAAACACACTGTGGGGGCAAGACAACACACAGTGTGGGAAACATCATCATTTTTTACAGCCAACATTAATACTAATCAAAACAAAGAACAACTATTAGACTATATCCTCTGTGATATTCAACTTTATTCATTGAAAAGAAATTAAATTAACATTTTTCAAAGTTATTTAAGTACCTTGAGAGTACGCATTTTAGACCTATCTTTGTTAATAAACAAAATTGATAAAAAATTCCACAGAGGGCCGATTTATATGCAGTTTTCACCAATGAAAAGGTGAAGATCTCCGCTTTCCTGGTCTGACAATTTTAACCATGGTTTCATGAAATAAGCTTTTGCATATCACTTATAAAAATTGCACTTGATCGACAGCTGCCCATCAACCTCAAAATTTTTATTCAACTTATGACAAGAAAGAGCAATCACTTGGCTATACTCTGTGATTTTCAAGATGTTTGGTTAAAACGTAAATTTTGTACACTTTATCAAAGTTTTTCAAGTACCGTGTAAGCACGCCTTGCAGACCTACAAAACGGCCATTAAAGACAAGCCTTGGAAGGGTAAGTACACTTTTTTTGAGCTCCGTTATTTTTGCTGTTTGGCACCCTTACAACACTGAGCAGAAGCAATCAAACTATTGGAGGAGGTGTCTAAGGTGCACCGTTTGACCATTATGTGTTTGAAGGACCTTGTTATTAGAACTTGAGGACCTTTTATCAATGTTTTGATGTTATATTATGCTTGTTCATGTAAGGAACCATTTGGTGTTAATTTTTGTGAAATCGGTTCCTTTGTTAATTAGTTATGACGTTATTTGTGTCGAAACTTTACACCTTAATAACTTTGCCAGGTTTTAACCATTTGGCCAGCGTTAGATAGGCCTTAACATAGGCTACGTGCATACCAAATTTTGTAAAATATGATAAAATCCTTACAAAGTTATTAACGGTTTAAGTTTTATACAAAATGGCGGACACAAGTTTTTCGGTACCATGCCCTTAGGGTTTTTTTTAACGCGAAAACGAGGTAAGGCTTTAACTTCCTCAAAGTCTTAGAGGATATTGTGCCGGTGTTTCAAATTCAGACGTTATAAAATGGAGCAAGGGCTCTTCGTTCAGGTTGTTGGTTTCACTCAGCACTAAGATATCTGTAAGTACTATGACTCAAATTTTCACTGTCCATAACTCAAAGAGAATGTAAGTGTTTCGGCTGAAATTTAGGGGAAAACTACTACATATAAGGGGCTAACTGCCGATGCATTCTTGCATCAAACCGTTTTATTCTCTATGAGATATTGAAGTATAGACATGGAGGTAAATGTTTTCCCCTTCGCTCTTTGGCTACTCAAAGGAAATGGATGCGAAGTTAAATGGAATGGATCGGGTGAAGCATTTGGCACAATTAGGCATGTGGGGCGATGAAGATGCATTAAAAAAACTACTCTTGGAGAATGTGGAGAGTGCAAAAGTCCCTGAAATAAAAGAGATTCAAAGGTCGGTAATTACCACATGCCTTAATGTAGGAGGGAAAGCATTCATAGCAGGAGTGAAAATGGGATTGAATTGTTTGGAGAACAGTGCAAAAAACTTAATGGCACTAGCCCAATTTCTAGAAAAAGATCAGCTGAAAACAGCCATTAAGCCTCAAATTGATAAAGACAATGTCTTGATCAAAATGAGCCATGTTTGCAAGGACACTGTCAACTGGTGTAAGAAGATTGGCAAAGAGAATGATGGAAAGTTTGTAAGGAATCTAAAATGGTATGCCGAGAAACTGGCAGATGCCCAAAATGGAGACCACGAAAACCTTAAGCTACTAGACTTTGAGCAGATGCCTTCTTTAAAAATAAAGCCAATAGAACGGGTGCCGAGCCACATGTCATTGCAGCTCGACTACAGCAGGGCAAATAAGATCACCACAACTGCTATCTACATGCAAAATACAACTTTGAGAACAGTGAATCAGTTGACAATGGCCATGGCTACTCTCATGGCTAGAAAGTACTATCCAGAAAAGAAAGCGCTTAGTTCTAAACCTGATGGACAAGACGTCTGCCAATCACTGAATTCTGAGCTCAATGAGCTGACATTGTGGATGGACTTCATAGAAGAAAACTGAAAGAAAGAAACAAACATTGAGGAGCAATTTGAAGACGAGGTACGGGATCCGTCATATCAACCAAACTCTTCAAGTGAAGAGAGTATGACTGAAAGTGGAGACAAGACAGAAAGTGAGGTAGAAGGGGGGAAAAAAGGAGAGAGAGTCCACGGAGGCACGTCAAGTATCTTAAAGCAATTGCAATTACAAGAGAAACTTTGCAAGCTGATTATCAGGATGCTGCCCTTCCTTTTTGTGTGCCAAAGAACTTGGCTTGCAAGAGCTAACATTAAACTCCAGATTAGCAATCAAATATATGACTCACGTAGCAAGGGAGGAGTTTGCAATAGACCTAGGAAAAAATCATGATATCAATGATGTAGAAGAAGAAAAGAAGAAGGAGATAATGGTGGCAATAAAGCGTGACCCGGCAAATGCAAAAGTTGAAAAGTCACAAAGCCAGGGAACTTCTTCGAATGAAGAAACAGGTAATCCAATGAAAACCAAAAGACAAAGCTACACAAGAAAGCGGAAAATGATTGAAACCAAAGAAGCAGAGTCAAGTCAGAAACGCGCTAAAGTCAGTAACTCTAAGACAACCTTAAAGGCGAAGTTTGACCCGACGATCAAAAAGGCATCAGAGAGCCACGATTCAGATGACAAAGAGGAAGCCTTGGAGGAAACGGATGAAGAAACTGTTGCATCCAAAAAAAGGAGTCACTGCATGACAGTAAAATGTAGAATTCCAGGATGCGGGCTGAAGGTGAAAGACATCAAGCGATATCTAAAGAGTCATGTGACCAGAAAGCAGCTAGAAGAGAGCGATGTCCCAAGGGCTGCTGCTATTTTAAAGGCAGGGAAGAGTCTCAGGGGCCTCCACTAACCACCTCTAAAAAAGAAGCTGGAAGACCCGGCAGGTTCAGAAAATGGTGTCCGGTGCCTGGATGCAACTCCATCACTACCTACATAACCCAGCATTTCACAAAGGCACACAAGTTAAAGAACACACACGTTGCATACAAGGTGCACTTGAAGAGCGCAAAGAGGTACAAGGGCATACAAGAGCTTGACATGTTGCTGAACATGAAACCAGCTACCCCTNAGTAAAACTTGCGCTGCTTGTGGGCTCAAGACCTGGCCCTTTGGAAAATGCCCTTTTAGAGGACTACTACGGTGCAAAGGAGAAAGATGGCAACAGGATCATGCTAATTCCGAAGCATAAGCGATCCAAAGCAGGCCCAGCAGCTTTAGGGATGGACAAAGAGCTCCAAATGCTCATGGAAGTCTATGTAAAGAAGATCAGACCTATGTTTGCAAAAACCGACGTAGAGCATCTCTTTGTTAAAACTGACGGGGAACAATTCCAAAATAACACCATTGGCAAACGTTTTGCAGCCTTCTGGGAGAAAAGTGGTGCGAGGAAGGACAAAAGAATCAGCCAAACATCAGTGAGAAAGTTTGTTACCACTGTGACCAAAAGGCACGCTCCACAGGAAATAGGCAACATACAGAAAGTCTTGTGCCACGGAGAGAAGTCGTCTCGAAATTGTTATTTAAGAGAAGACTTGACAGAGACAGCATCACGGGCAATGAACGTAATCAAGGACGTCATGTCAAAAGAAAGTGCCACACAATCAGAAGCCTCTAAGGATGAGGCTTCTGAACAAAATCCTCAGTTAAGTGAAGAAAATAATCATCCTGAAGTGACAAAGGATGATACCAGTCAAGAAGAGCCTGAGCCGAGTGAACAGAGTAGTCTTCAAGAAATGACAAACGATGATGCTCTTCCAGGTTGAAGCACACAAGACAGTAGACGAGAAAGTGAGATGGAAGAAGCCTC